TGAAAGAGAGCCCTACAACATACCCGAAAGATGGTCGTCCAGCCTCCGCTTGAAAACGTCCAGCGAAGGAGCATCCACCACCTCCCGAGGCAGACTGTTCCACTGCTCAGCCACTCTTACCGTTAGGAAGTCTCTCCTGATATTTAGCCGGTAACGACTCCCTTGTCATTTCCATCCATTCGATCTAGTCTTGCCATCCGGCGCAAGAGAGAATAGATCTGCTCCATCTTCCACATAACAGCCCTTCAAATATTCAAATGTGAAAATTTGAGATGTGAAAGACCTCTTCTTAAAAACTTGGAGAGCCCCTGCCAGTCTAAGTAGACAATACTGAACGTGTTGGACCAGGAGTCTGATTCAGAATGAGGCAGCTTCATGTGGATGTTGGGGAGGGACTGTGGCTCAGTGGTAAAGCCTCTGCTTGGCAGGCAGGAGGTCCCAGGTTCGAACAGCAGGAACTCCAATTTTAAGGACCAGGAAGTAAGTGATGGGAAAGAGCTTCACGTGGGACCCTGGAGAGTTGCAGGCACAGTCCGAGTAGACGATGCTGATCCTGATGGACTGATGGTCTGACCCAGGGGTGGATGAAGGCTCACGGGTGCCCGAAGCACTGACCCATCTTGGCGCCCCCCTCCTTTCCACACTGACCCCCCAGTCCAGTTTGGTGTAGTGGTTAAGTACACGGACTCTGATCTGGGAGAACCGGGTTTGATTCCCCACTCCTCCACTTGCAGCTGCTGGATTACCTTGGGAAAGCCATAGTTCTTATAAGAGCTGTTCTTGAAAAAGGGCAGTTTCTGTCAGAGCTCTCTCAGCCCCACCTCCCTCACAGGGTGTCTGTTGTGGGGAGGGGGTGGGAAAGGAGATTGTAAGCTGCTCTGAGACTCCTTTGGGTAGTGAAGGGCAGGGTATAAATCCAATCTCCTCCTCCTCCTCCTCCTCCTCCTCTTCTTCTTCTTCTGTAAGACCAATCTTCAAACCACAGCTTTCTTAACATAACATAAGAACATAAGAGATGCCAATGTTGGATCAGGCCAAAGGCCCATCCAGTTTAACACTCCGTATCACACAGTGACCAGAAATACCAGTGACATCAGGAGGTCCACAAGTGGGGCCAGGACATTAGAAGCCCTCCCACTGTTGACCCCCCCCCAAGCACCAAGATGACAGAGCATCACTTTCTCCAGAGTCCCTATCTATACCTTGTGGCTAATAGCCACTGATGGATCTCTGCTCCATATGCTTATCTAATTCCCTTTTGAAGCCGTCTTCCTTTCACCCAGAGGAGCTCTTGGCAGGTGTCCGTCCCACTGGCATCTTATTCTTGGCATACAATCAGGACAGATTTAAATCGGGTGATACAGGCCACTGGGACTTCATAGCTTCCACAGAAACTTCAAGACGACATCCAGATTTGGCGTATCCATGCACAGCAGTGCTGTCACCATATCAATGGACCACAGGTCCCAACAACATGACCACTTTCATCTCGAGTTCCCTCAAGCTGTGATCTCTAGATGGCCCAGCCCAGAATGGCATTGTCCTGGTCTCTTCACCAGAAGCAGAAGATCCACTCAACCTGAAGGGAACCTCATCGTCTGAATCCCAGAGCCAGGAGGCAACATCAGAGGAAGGCCTCAGCCTCTCTGCCCTGTTGTTGGCCCTCTAGAGGAACTGGTTGGCCACTGTGTGAGACAGGATGCTGGACTAGATGAACCACTGGATTCAGCAGGGCTCTTCTGATGTTCTTATGAAGGCCTCAGCCTCTATGCCCTTTTGTCCACTGTGTGAGACAGGATGCTGGACTAGATGGACCACTGGTCTGATCCAGCAGGGCTCTTCTAATGCTCTTATGAAGGCCTCTCTGCCCTGTTGTTGTCCATCCAGAGGAACTGTTTGGCCACTGTGTGAGACAGGATGCTGGACTTACATGGACCACTGCTCTGACCAAGCAGTGCTCTTCTGATGTTCTTATTAACCATCACAGGCAATGGAGACAAGACCCAAAAGAACTTACGGGAAATTTTCCAAGGATCGAGTGGCTGTCGACAGGGGTGAGAATCCTCCTCTCCACCAGAAGATAAAAAAAATTCTGCTCCGAGGCTAATTGGCAAGCCACCTTGCTTGCTATAAAGTTGGAAATGAATGCTTACCGTGGCTTCTTTTAATCTTTTGAAATCTATGTTGAGGTACGCTTTTATTCCATCAAGGGCACCGGGCAAAGTTAGTCCTCGGATTAACAGTACAGACAGCACCACGTATGGCAAAGTGGCTGTTATCCACACCACCTGAAAGGGAACAATATCCACAGGAAGATTATTCATCCGCATGTTGAGCAGCAAAACACTGATGATTGCTGCAATCGTCTTGGCTGCATTTTTTTTCCTTTGAAAATGCAAGCAATTGCAATAACCAAACAAACAAATGGAGCAGTTCCTTTCCATCTTTTTGACGAGAAAATCTGAAAGACAATGATATGTCAAAGTGGAAATGCATCTAGGAATCACATGATGGTTGAGTGCATGGACCACCCATCCGCACAAAAGTAGAAGCCATGGGAATGCATGGGAAGGGTCTTCAGGCTCTTGCATACTCCGCGAGTCACACTAATCATCAGGGGTCATTTTGTAGAAAAAGAGGTGCAGGAGCTCATTAGCATAACTTATTTGCATATGCCACACCCCCTGACATCACCAGATGTATGTCAGAAGGCAACACCCACTGCTCAGGCTCCACTGGACTGTTTTGGATACCTAGCTATTGGGGGGGGGACATGCAGATTTGTCCTCGCAGAGGAGGGAGAGCTTGTACCTGAATAAAACTTGGTCTTAAAGGTGCCACTGGACTGTTTTGGGCTGGGGGAGGGGCTCTGCAGCTTACCTGGCTGCTTCTTGCTCTGACTGAGGGCTGCTGGGAGCAGGGGGTGGGGCTTGTTGCATGTGCCCGCCCCCTGTGCTCTTTACTGCCGGAGCTCCGCTCCTGTGCGCTCCTGCAGGAAATGACCCCTGCAGGTGGGTAAGCCATGTTGGTCATATTTGTTATTGTTTGTTAATTTCGTACACTTCTATCCCACCCTTCCTCCAAGGAGCTCGGCACAGCATACGCAATCCTCTCCTCTTCTTCATTTTATCCTCACAACACCCCTGCAAGGTAGGTTAGGCCGAGACAGAGTGACTGGCCCCCCGACACCCAATGACTTGAACCTTCACAGTGGGGACTTGAACCTTCACAGACAAACACAGAGAGAGAGAGAGTCTAATAGTAGGCCAGTCCTTCTCTGCTAAACCCTGTCCCAACAACTCTGCACAAACCCATCAGTTGCTAGACTTTACCTTTTTCGGACTTATGCATACTAGGGATCAGGGGTCATTTCCTGCGGGAGCGCACAGGAGCGGAGCTCCGGCAGTAAGGAGCCCATGGGGTGGGTACATGCAACAAGCCCCACCCCCTGCTCCCAGCAGCCCTCAGTTGGGCCACGAAGAGCAAGAAGCAGCCAGGGGCTTCCGGTTTGGCTCCCGTGAATGGCGGACGCATCCTCGGGTCGCTCCCGAGGGCGTCTCACCCGCCCACGGTGGAGGAGGGAATCCGCACGAGCGGAGACCCGAACGAGCTCCTCAGGAAGAGAGGAGCTCGGATTCGGGGCGCTTTAGGGCGTACTAGGGGGGAGTCTCTCTTTCGGCCGAGAGGTCGGAGACCAAGGCTCCCGCCATGCCCTGCCCCAATGGACCTTGCTGCGTGAGCGACCCCG